CGGCGGGGGGGGCGGCCGAGGGTGGGCCGGGGTCCCCGGAGCCGGCGTCACAGTGTCCCCATGTCCTGGCCCCGGGGCCCCCGCCAGGGGCAGGCACGGAGGGATTTAAACAGGTCTCGCCCTCGGCGCCGCGGGGGGAGTGCGGGGTGCGGGCGGCCCCAAGAGGAATGGGGCCGGGCCGGGCGGGCAGAGGCTCGATCCTGCTTCCCCGCGGGGAGGGTGGGCAGCCCGCCGTGCACCGCCCCGCCCGGGCCCGCCTCCGCTCCGGGCCCGGGCGTTCCTCGTCTTCTCTCCGCCACCCCCTCGCGCCCACCTGCCGCGGGCGACGAGCGCACTTGTGCTCCGCCACCAGGCCGGTTCCCCTCCCCTTTCCTTCCTCTTAGGAAGGTGTGGTGGCTCCGCGGGGGAGGCTGGGCCGGGAGTCCTTGGGGTCCAGCTTCTGGGCGGGAAGAACGGGTAGTGGCCGGGACGCCCTCCAGAGCTGGGGAGCTTGGAGTTGCTGGGGTGAGGGGTCAGGCTGGGCTGACCAGAAGAGTCGGGGGTCCTCTCTGGGTCAGAGGCTGGGCTGGTCACGGTGGCCTGAGAGGGGGCTCCTTGCCCTTTCTCCCAGTTTCCGACTGGGAGGGGCTGTTGTTGACGTTCCTCACTGGCTTTTGCAATGATGACCCTTGGCTGTGGCCTGGTGTGGGCATACTGTGGTCCCCGAGGCCCTTGCCACCCACATGCTCACAGGGCAGTGGGTGAGGGTTCCTGGCTTTCTGCCGTCCCTGTCCTTGTTCATCTGGGCGTACTGATCCTGCCGGGACTGGCCCACACTCAGTGGGTCCTCCGGGCCCCGTTTTCAGGGGTTCGTGGCTCCTGTGGCACCAGGAGTGGAGTGTGGCCTAAGAGTGGGGAGCCTGGTGGCTGGGCCATGGGTCTCTAGCCCCCCGCCACCACAAATGGCCCAGGCCAGCGTCCCAGGGAGTCCAGACCCCAGGGGCGGCCTACTTGTTGCCCTTCCAGCTGTCTTCTCAAGCAGCCGACCCTCTGGGGTGCGGGGGGCCTGTTTCCAGAAATGGATCTCTGAGGGCCTGGCCTGAGATTGAGGATCCCCTGCAGGCAGTGGGCTCACAGCCAGAGTCTCCATTCAGCACCTGCTGGGGACTGGCCTGGAGGGGCAGGGGGAGGGGGTGGCTGCAGGCAGCAAGGGCCGGTGGGCTCCTTGGAGGGGATGCTGTCCTGGGGTGGGCTCCTTGGAGGGGATGCTGTCCTGGGCTCGGGTGGGAAGCGAGGCTGGAGCAGGTTTTCAGCAGGTGACGGGCGTTCCTGGAGGGGGCCCTCCCCCTCCCTGACTCCTATTATCAGGTGTGGCCTCTTCACAGGCGCTTCCTTGTCTTTGAAAAAAGGTCCAACTCGCTCTTCCAGGCCTGGGCTTCAAAGCTGCTTCCTGGCCTCAGATCAGAAGCCGCCAGCTGCCCTTTCTGACGCGGTGGCTGGATGGGCAGGCCAGCCTGACCAGCATTTGGCGCTCCTTCCGGCCCCACCCTGCCCAGCCCGGCCCTCCAGCCTCTGCTGGCCGGCTCCCCTCAGCGCAGAGCCAGGCTTGGCCCCCAGCCTCCCCCAAGATTCCGGCCAACTGGGGCATCGTCTTCAGGACCCTGAATGGTGCTCAGGAGGAAGCTTCCTGCTGCCCTTCCCTCCCCAGGGCAGCCCCCGACTCAGGCTCTGCAGAGGGACCAGGCCAGGACATCACAGAGGTGCTGTGTCCTCCCCAGAGAGGGGCAGGCCTGGGGGTCCGGGAGCCCACAGCCTCCTTCCCCTGCACCCCCCAGGTCCCACGGGGCGGGTCACAGTGATGACCCCCAAGGCTCCCCAGTGATGGCAAAGAGAGGGGGTAGGGACGGGGTGCCTTGTGAACACGAGTTCCCCGAGGCGTGCGTCTGTGGGGGGCTGAGAAATGCAGAGGAAGGGGAGGTGCCCTGTACCTCTAGGTAGCCAGTCAGGGGACAGGGCCCAGGAGGACGGAAGTGGAGGTTGGGGTGCTGTGTGGACAGGCTTCAGGCCCCTCCTGGGCTGCGACCACTGAGCACCGTGGGTGCCTGGCTGTTCCCCGCTCCGGTCCCACCCTAACTTCCGGAAGGACTCTGCCCACCATCCTGGACACCAGCCTGTGCTTCCATCTCCTGAGCACACACCATGCGCCGCGGATGCCTGAAGCTTGGGGACGGGGTTTATTACGTGTTCCGTTTTACAGATGAGTCTGCAGAGAAGCAGCTTGAAACTCAGGCCTCCGAGGCGGGGAGTGGGGAGGTGACTGGCAGGGTCCCAGAGCTAGGACGTGGGGGCCCCGGGCTGCAGACCCACTGAGAGTGGCTCCACAGTGCACGCTTTTCATCTTTCCTCTGTCTCCCACGGCATTAGGGGCTGGGGGCAGTGCCATGGCTGCTTTGGGGCTGGAGACCAGGCTCGGGAGAATCCCTGAGTTCCAGGAGGGGCAGCCCCACACCGCCTGCCCCCTCACTTTCCCATGTTCCCCGTGAGCAGCCGCCCCTTCCCATGACGGGGCTCTGGGTGAGCACCCAAGGAGGCCTTTGCCATTTAGTTGCGAGTTCTGAGTGTGCAGGGCAGTGCTGGGAACTGAGAAGCAGAGGCAGGCTCTGTTCTGACCAGGCTGTGGACTGAGGCCAGGGACCCCTCCCAGAGTGGCAGGGTCCCACGTTCAGGGTGAGGCTGGAGTAGCAGGTCCTGTTTCCTTGTCCCAGGAGCACGTGACCTTATTACACCCATTCGACAGAGAAGAGAGCGAGGCCCAGGGAAGCGGTGTGTGTTAGAATTGGGTTCCCTGCAGGATCAGGAAACCTAACAAGAGTGGCTTAACCCGGAGAGTTCACTTTTTCATGCATCACAGTCGACCAGGGCGGGCAGCCTGGGGCCACGGAAAGCTGCCGGCTCCTCTGGCCTGTGGCCCCCCCCATTCTCGGGGTCCGACATGCCACTGTTACGGCAGGACCTCTGGGAACTGAACTGCCCACTTCTGCGTCCATCCTAGTGGCCGGGACCTGGTGGGGGGCATAGCTAGGCTGTGGGGTGGGGTGGGGTGGGGGGCAGGGCAGATGGAGCCCCCCACCTGCTCGAAACATCGAGGACGGGCATCACTGCAGCCAGGGGCGGGGGGCTTGTCGATGCCGGTCAGTGTTTGAATCCAGCACTGCCAAGCCACTGCGTGGCCCTGTGGGGATGCGTGGATGCACACACAGTGCTGTCGGGGAGCCGCAGCACCTGGGGGCTGGCCTGGGGCCCTGGTCTCGCAGGAAAGTCTGCCCTGGCTTTGCTTGGGGTGGGATAGTGAGAGGCAGAGCCTCCCCTCTTGGGTGTACTGCGGGCCCAGGAAGCAGAGCTCCCGAGAGCCCTGGACACCACTGCTCACGGCCCCGCCTCCTTCCAGGCCCCTGGCGTTCAGCCCACTCCCGCGCCCCTCTTAACACCTCTGGGCACCTAAGCAGGCTGGAGCCCCCACCTCCTGGCCCCCTCTGTGCCCCAGCTCTCGTGACACTTGGAAAACACTGCTGCTCTGCCAGGTGGCCCTCCCGGGACCTCCTGTCCCCTGAGCAGATCAATGGCTCTGTGTGCTGCCCTCCTGGCAGGGCCGCCCTGAACAAACCCCATCGCGCCCCTCCCTTTCCGGGTCAAAGCCCGTGGGGTCTGGCTGAGGTCCGGCGCCTCTCGGCCGACGCAGCTGCCAGGTCTCCCCAGAGCCACCTAGTCCGAGTCCAGGGTCTGAGGGCAGAGGTCAGCAGGTAGCTCAGACGTGACCTTGAACCACCTCCCAGCCGCCTGGAGCAGGTGCTGTGGCCGGAGGAGGATCCTCCTCTTGCTTTCATTTACTTTGGATCCTTCTGTCCTGCCTGTGTCATCGCTGCCGACACAGCTGCTGTTTGCGGAGGGCTCCCAGGGTCCCACAGGTGTCACGGGCGTTCCAGCCTCATCTCGCTCAATCCCTCCACACCCTTCCCCTTTCACAAGTGGAAACGGAAGTTTAGGGAGGTCAAGTCCATTGCCCAAGGTCACAGCTGGTGAGAGGGAGTCAGAGTCTGTCTGACCCTGAGCTTGGGCCGGGCCCAGGTGTCCTCGGGCGAGCACAGGTGGTCCAGGGGGACTGGCTGCCAGGAGTTCGGCCTCAGGCCCCCCAAAATCTGCAGCGTTTATGATGTTCACTTGTAGGCTGGCGGCCCCGGTCAGGGTTAAGTGGAGGGCTTCTGAGAAAGACCAGGAAGTGCCAGGAAGTCCCCTCTGCTTAAGGGGACGGCTGCCCCTGCGGGCACTGGGAAAGAACCTGTCCTGGGGGCCACCTGCCTTGCTATGGAAAGCTGGCACCAATCACCTACCTGGCAGCTGTCCGCAGTGCTTCTGGAACCTTGTGCCATGCACTCAGCCCAGCCCTGGGCCACCTGGGCTTCAGGCAACCTTAGCTCCACCCCCAGGGGAGGCAGGACATGGAGTTCAGGGCTGGAGGGTGTGGGACTGGCGTGCACAGTGACTCCTGCCTGCCCTGCTCCCCATAGGGCAGAGGAGGGAGCAGCTCCCGGACTCCGCGGCCGAGGGGTGGGGCGCTGGGGTCAGGTGGGTGTTGGGGCCCAGGATGAGGCCGGGGCTGGGCAGGCAGGGCAGCCTGGGTAGGGTGGCTGCTTTGAGCTTCCTGCTGGGAGAGGATGACAGAGCCACTTGCAGCCCTGCTGGGGGTGGGGTGGGGGCCATAGAGCCCCCCAGGGGAGGAGGGGGAGGCCTCAAAAGTAGCTGGAGACTCCACCTGACAACCCTGCAGCCGTCACCCCACCTCCAGCACGCCCTCTGCTTGACATTTTTCACACATTTTTCAAAAGTCAGGTTTAGAGGTGGGCTCTGCCCATCCTGGCCTCCCGCCCATCTTGACCTCCCTGCTGTGTGACTTTGGGCAAGTCACTTAGCTCTGCTGAGCCTGGACTCCCTCACCTGGGTGTAATGAGCTCTGCTGAGCCTGGACTCCCTCACCTGGGTGTAATGAGCGTACGACCTTGTGGGGTTATTGTCTGATCGAAAACCGGACAGTTAACGTCTGTCTAGGTGCAGGCGTGGCATGTAGCATTCAGGAGATGCTGGGCGTGGCTGTGAGGTGTTTGTCCCTGTGGTTAGGAGCATGCTGCACTCCAGGCAACGACAGACCCGGCTCTCCCTGCCTGGGCACTGGAGGGGCCTCTGCAAAGCTCTGTCTGCTTCCGGCTTCTTCAAGGAAGCACTATTAAAATGATAATAGGGGGCTTCCCTGGTGGCGCAGTGGTTGAGAGTCAGTGGTTGAGAGTCCGCCTGCCGATGCAGGGTACACGGGTTCGTGCCCCGGTCCGGGAAGATCCCACATGCCGCGGAGCGGCTGGGCCCGTGAGCCGTGGCCGCTGAGCCTGCGCGTCCGGAGCCTGTGCTCCGCAACGGGAGAGGCCACGACAATGAGAGGCCGGCGTACAGCAAAAAATAAAAAAGGATAATAGATACTTTCTCACCACTTTTACAGAAAACCTTGAAAATAGGGGACATTAGGAGAAGGAAAAGTGGGTACCCACGTGAACGCCGCCTGCAGGGAGTGGCCGGTCCCCTCCCCTTGAGGAACATCCGTTGCCTCTTTCCTCTCCCGAGATGCGCCTTTCTTTCCCAGCTTCCTGTACTCACCCGGCGGCTGTATCTTTTAGTTTGTCTGAGAGCAATTATTTGTAAATGTGTGGAGAGTTGCCATGGGCGCCTCCGTCTCCTGCAGCATGTGGGGCAGCCCTGGGCCTGTCTGTCCGTCCTGGAGCCTTTGGTGCGGGGGCTCTGCCTTGGCCTGGGCTCCCAGCCGGAGTGGGGGAGGCGGGAAACAAGCAGCAGAGCAGCTGCAGAGGGCCCCGGCTCATCTGAGTCTTATACACAGCATCTTTCATAGTTCAAACAAAACACAATAAAACACCTACCCATATACAACTGATCCCTTAAATTAGATACAAAAAGAAAATATAGAAAAGTTCTGGAGACGGATGGTTGGGGATGGCTGCATAACAATGTGAATGTACCTGTGCCACTGAACCGGACACTTATAAATGGTTTAAAATGATAAATTGTATGTGTATTTCACCCCAACTTTTAAAAAAGAAGAAAAATGGAGCCAGCAGATGCCACTACCAGAGAGAAACACCGTCCTTTCCAGATGTGGCCTGGGAGGGAAATGCAAACGATACGTAGTTATTAGGAGTCAAGGGAACAGGCCTGGCAGCAAATAAATACAGATCTTTGCTGTTTTCCTCTGCCACAGCCCTGTTTATTTCACCTCTCCCCACGGGGAACGTTGAGGTGTTTTCAGATTTCCCTAATTCAGACTGTGCCTACGCCTGCCTCACAGCTGCTTTAGGATCCTTTGCCGGAGGAGGATGGCAAGCTCAAAGGGAGGAGGTTTGTTAAGGGCTTTTGCCAGGTGCTGCTAACCTGCCCTCCAGAAACCTCTGTGTCCTCTTGACTTCTGCCAGCAGCCCTTGGGCCATTTCCTAACACCAGGCCAACACCTCCTGTTATCAGGCTTTCATCTGCCAATCTGAAGGAGGAAGACGGGGGTTTCTTGTTTCAATCTGCGTTTCTTTGACTGCCGGTGAGATGGCGTTTTTCCCGTTTTCCCGTGTTTATTGGACACACACGCCCTCTCCCTGTGCCCTTCAACCCTCAAGATGACCCGAGAAGCTGTGTTTTGCAGCTGAGCTGCCCGAGGCTCCCCAGCTGAGACAGCCAGTCAGTTCTCCAGAGAGTGTCCGGCCTGGCAACCCCTGAGCCGGATGGGGACAAACAGGAAGGTCTGGCTCAAGCTGGCTGAGGCTTACAAAGCTAAGCAAGCTAAGAAGCCCTGGCTTCCAGATCCGGGGAAGGCCGGCCGGTCTGATTGTGAGAGCAGCCCAGGGTCAGCTGCTTGCTGGAGCCTCAGTTTCCCCATCTGCACCACGAGGTAACGTGGGGAGTTAGGCTTTGTGAGCTGGATACGAGTCTGCCTTTCAGACACAAAGAGGCAAATCCGACAGGGTCCACTCATGTGAGGGCCTAGAGGAGACAGATCCATAGAGACGGAAAGTGGACAGTGGGGCCCGGGGCTGGGGAAGTGAGTGTTTAATGGGGACAGAGTGTCAGTCTGGGAAGATGAAAGAGTCCCAGATAAGGGGGGACGGTTGCGCAACAATGTGAGTACACTTAATGCCACTCAACTTAAAATGAGTTAAGATGGTAAATTTTATGTTGTGTGTATTTTACCACAGTTTTAAAGACCTGAGTGTGTGGCTTTGGGTCAAGGGCCCAGCTCTGAGTCTCCGCTCTATTGAGGGCCAGCTCTGAGCACAGGCCCTTCTGGATAAAGTGGGAAACCCCTCCCTTCCGGTCAGGACTTTGGGGAGATCAAATGACCCTGGTGTGTGTGTGCGCGCATACACATCTTCTGGAAGAAATGGAACAGTTCTGGGTCAGGAGCCCTTGGGTCACTGGGGCCCACCCTCAGCCCCCTGCCACCCACGGATGGGAAGGACCCAGGGGACCTGCCTGAGTTGCAGAGGCAGGTCCCCTGCCTCGGGCTCCATCACCCCGAGCAGGCTGACCTCTCACAGGCACCTGTCCCTTGCCGAGTGTGTGCAGTGTTCCCGCAGAGCAGGGGGCCGGGGCCACCCTTCTCCCTGCCGGCCAGCCACCTGCAGACACCGTTCCCAGGGGCATGCCCGGTCGTGCCTGCCTGTCAAGTGTGAGAGCTGCTGGGCCAGGCCTCTCAAGGTCACGAGCGCCCAGGGCAGCCTCCTGCTGGGAGCGGGGCCCACACACATCCTGGCTCCACCGCCATCCTCATGTGACCTTGGGTGTGTCTGTGAAAGGGGCTGGGGCGCTGCGCTGTGGGATGCAGGGGAGGAGTGAAAGCCTGGCCGGGCCAGTCTCCCCAGTGGTGGAGACTGGAAGCAGCCTTCAGCTCCTCGACAAGGCCTCCGCTTGGTACCCATGCTTTCTTCCCCGTGTGCCTCTGCCTTGAGGGGACCTTCACTTCCCGTGGGTGAGGGCCCAGCCTCCACTGCAGGGGCCTCTCCACGTCGGGTCCTTTGGTCGCTGACACGTCTGAGAAGGGAGCCAGCCCGGCCCCCCGGAGGCTCTCAGCCTTCAGCCCTGTCCAGCTGGGCCCCCCCGGCTTGTGGTGATGAGCAGGGGTGTGGGGTGAGGGCTCGGTGGCAGGTGCAGGCCTGGGAACGCAGACGTGGAAGGAGGCGCCTTCCCCACTGCCGGGCATCCGGGCCCCCAAGGCCTTGCTCCTGTGTGACCCAACCCTCGCCGGCTGGGGTAGCGGGGGGGCAGGGAGGCACTCGCCATCCCGTTGAGGGGTTGAGGGACAGGACCTGAAGGTTCTCCGAGGGGAAGGCGAGCTCAGGGTCAGCGGCCGGCCTGCCAGGGCGGGCGGGGGGTCCCCGTGCTGTGTCTGTCTCTCGTCCTGCACTGGGATGACCCTGCCTAGGTCTGCAGGCGGAGCCTGAGTTACAAGGTGGGTGGTGGCCTCTGCTCACGGCCCATCTCCCCCTCAGCATCATCAGTTGGTTCATCCGGTCCTTCAAGTACTTATACGGCCTTCGCTTTGAGGTAAAGGGCCGTCAGAAGCTGGAGGAGGACCGCCCCTGTGTCATAATTTCCAACCACCAGAGCATCCTGGACATGATGGGTAGGCCAGCTGCGGAGGGTTTTGGCGGGAGGGCCGGCCCTTCCCAGTTGCCTGGGGGGAGGGGGAGGAGGGGGGATGCTGCTTCAGTTGGTGGAGGCTGGGCCCCGAAAAGCTGGCAGGCGAGGGGGCAGATGCGGACCGGGGACCTGTGCCCCCCTCCAGACACAGGCCTCCAGCTGGTAACGGGAGACAAGGCTTCCTATGCCTGGCGCCGGGCTCGGGAGCCCTGCTTCTTTACCCTCTCTGCAGGGGAAACTGAGGTTCAGAGGCCAGGTGATGCCCAGGTAGCCAGTGGGAAGGCGTGACTGGGCCCAGGCCTCTTGGTGGCCAAGGCCGAGGGCCAGCTCGCTCCTCCTCGGGGCGGTAGCCACCTGGCTCTGAGGCTGTGCTCTGTCTCTGTCTCTCCCGCCCCCCGACCTGGGCTCAGGCCTCATGGAGGTCCTCCCTGATCGCTGCGTGCAGATTGCCAAGCGCGAGCTGCTCTTCCTGGGGCCCGTGGGCCTGATCATGTACCTGGGCGGCGTTCTCTTCATCAACCGGCAGCGCTCCAGGATGGCCATGACTGTGATCTCTGATGTGGGCAAGCGCATGGTCAGGGAGAAGGTAAGCGCCTGGGGCTCGGGGCCTGCTTGGCGGTGTGAACGCCTTTGTGCTGTCAGGACAGCCCGTGAGTGTGACTCCCTTTGGCAGAAGAAAACGCGTCATCTGTAAACCGCATACAGAAAAGCCAGGCGCGGTGCCTCGGCTGTCAGTAGTGGTAGCGGTGGTGTTCTCCGCTGAGCAGTGGGGCTCCTTGGGGGTGGGTGGCCCCCCGGGGGCAGCCCCCGCGACCCGCTTCCTGTCTCTCCAACAGCTCAAAGTGTGGATCTACCCCGAGGGCACGCGGAATGACAGTGGGGATCTGCTGCCTTTCAAGAAAGGTGCCTTCTACCTGGCCATCCAGGCCCAGGTACGCCAGGGCCGCAGCCAGGGGTGGGAAGCGCGTCCAGGTTGGCTTAAGGCTGAAGGTGACCTCCTGGCCAGGCCGAGGCCACTGGCGCTCCTGGACCACCTCCCGCTGGGCAGGTGGCAGGGCCTCCCCCCACCCAGCACCTGTCCCTGACCAGCTAAGAAGGGCAGGGCCACTTTACCCACTCTGAGCGTTAAGGCTGGCACCTGATCAGGCCCAGTGCCAGCTAGAATGATGCTCGTCACCACCGTTACCTGTGCCTGGAGCTCCAGCACCCCGCTTCCTAGCTGGCCAGGCGAGGGATCTGCGGAGGGAGGCTGGGGTTGGCATCAAAGGTGGAGGCAGGAGGCCTGCTGGCTGAGCTGTCTCCGGAAGGCTGTGCCAGGCTCAGGGCCCCAGCACCCCTATCTGGTTGGGGGCGTGGGCAGTGGCTCAGGGGGAGCGGGGCCTGCGGCGTGAGGCAGGGTCGGGCCGGAGCTGGCGATGGGCCAGGATAGGTGAGCTGGGAGCCCTCCACGGGGCTTGATGTTTTTCTGGTCCTTGACTTCTAGGGATGCAATTTGTCCTAGAGGTGTCCTGGGGTCTGGGGTGATGGCAGGAGAGGCTGGGGCACATCCGTCCATCGGGTGGGGTCTCCTGGTAGGTGAGGGGTGCCCTGTCTCACCCCGGTCCTGTGCTGGGGGACTTGTGTAGGGGAAGGCAGCCATCGTCTGGGGTCAGGGGAGGGGGCTTTCATCCTGCCTGATCGGAGTCAGGGGGGCAGCTGGGCAGGGGTTTGCTTTTCTTCTGTCCTTCACCTGTGACAGGTGGCCTCTAGCACCCCCTGGTGGCCCTGAGCAAGGACGTGAGAGCCCTCCTTCCAGAAGCTGCCAGCCAGTGCCAGGCGGGTGTGGGAGCTGGAGCGTGGGGTGCAGGGGCCCCGAGCCGGTGGTGGGTGCGTGGGGACGGGGCCGTGAGCCTGGGCTCTGACCCCGGCCCTGCCCAAGCAAGAGGAAGAGGACATCCCCGACACAGGCCTGGGACAGAGGTCACTTCCCTTCACCGGGGTCGTGGAGACAGGAGATACTGAAGGAGCTCTGGGGGGGCCGGGGGCAGCAGGTCTCAGCCAGGAGACCGGACATCGTTTGCTGTCACCCCTCTCCCCCGCCCCGGGTTGATGATTACCCCCAGGTGCCATTTCCGACCTTGGCATCACCATTGGAGTCACCATTGGCCTCGACGCTGGTGTCTTCCAGGAATAGCCTGCCCCCTCCCCTGGCTGGAGCTGCCCCCATCTTCCCTGGGATGGGAGAGAGGTTGGGAAGGGAGGGGTGGGCCGAAAGACCTCAGTTATCTCCTCTGGCTAAACCGGACAGGGCCCTGGTTAATCTTAGGACCCCGTGAGGAATGCAGATGTGCATCAGATGGATACGTGCCAACCCAGAAAGTCCTCCTGGAGAAGGGGATGCTTGAATGATGATGTACAGGATGTGCACTCTGGGCCCAGGGCGGGAAGGGCGTCCGAGGCCCAGGGGTCAGTGTGTGGAAGCGCCCTGGCGCAGGATGTGGCCACAGGGACTCCTGGCACCAGCCCCAAGGTGGGGGCAGGCTGGTGGCCAGGCAGGCCTCTCCCCAGAGCTCATCCTTGGGGATCAGGCTGGGCTGGGTGAGGGCTCCGGTCCATCCTCAGGCTGCCACGTCTGCCGTCCCCAGGTGCCCATCATCCCCGTGGTTTACTCCAGCTTCTCCTCTTTCTACAACTACAGGACGAAGCTCTTCACCTCAGGTACCCCCAACCTGTGCACCCGCCGGCCCACCTGTTCTCAGTCACTGCGACACCCACGCCGCTAAGAGAACAGTTCCCGTTTCTGGGTGGTCACTACAGACCCCTGCTACTCAGTGACCGCTTGGGGAAGGACGAAGGGAGGGAGGGAAGGGTCTAGAGTCCCAGCCTTGGGCTGTGGGGAGACCGAGGTGCCCAGAAGGTGGGCTGGGTGCCCAATTTCACACACACAGGCCCGGGCTGTGCACACAGCCCTGGGGGCCTTGAGGTGGTCCCTTTCTGTGCTAGGGTGGGCTTCTGAGCCAGCGCATCCAGGCCTAACTCTCAGGGGCAGCAGCCTCCCGGGCACCCCCGTGCCCCCCAGCCATGGAGCTTGGGACCTCCCCCCGCCCTTCCCTCCAGACCCTGCACAAGGGCACCTGGTGCCCAGGTGGGAAGTGGGGTCCAAGATAGAAGCTGCCTCCGCCCACATCTGAGGCCCCGAGGCCGCCTGAACCACTGTGGAGGGTGGGAGTGGAAGGGAGGGTGGGTACCTTCTGGGGGAGGAAACGTCTGGACCCTGGGTGGTCCTCACGGGGGAGCACACACTTGTCCACACCCACTGAGAACATGCTTGGGACTCGTGTGTGTGACTGTGTTGGTTATTCTCAACTAAAAGCCAACCACCCGGGACCAGGGTGTCTGGGGACGAGCCCGGCCCGGCCCCTCGGGAGGCTCTATGGGGGTGGCGGGTGGGCAGCCGAGGAGAGGAGGCCCCCCACCCCGGAGAGCCCCTCAGGCTGCTGACGCCCCCCCACCCCACCAGGAACCATCAAGGTGGAGGTGCTGGACGCCATCCCCACCACCGGCCTCACTATCGCCGACGTCCCTGAGCTCTTGGACACCTGCCAGCAGGCCATGAGGGCCACCTTTTTCCACGTATCCCAGCTCCCCCGGGAGAATGGGGCCCCCGCAGGGCCCAACGCCCAGGCATCCCAGTAGCCGAGGCCCAGGGCGGGGCAGGACCTGGCTAGACAATGGACAGAGCGACCCCTGCCCACCAAATATCACTGTGTCCCCTCCCGCGGCTCCCCCAACTTTCCTCGGGCCCTGGAAGCAAGGGACCCCTTCCTGTCACTGGCCTCAGGTCCAGGCCCCTGGTGTTCCTGCAAAGGAGAGTCACCTGGAGCCCCCCAAGCTCTGAGGGCAGGGCCTCATCCACCCTTGTGCCTCTGGGGTCTGGTGTGGGAGTGGGCCTGGGCCCCGATGGGCTGATGGGGCGGGGCCAGTCTGCCCAGCCCCCACCCTCCTGCCTGGGCTTGGGGGGCACAGAGGCTGGATCCGGGGTCCCAGCCACAGCCTGCATCAGGCTCTCGGAGAGGCGGGGCTCTGGGGGGCCAGGATGCCTAGTCTTATGCCACCTGGGCCTCAGGGGGGCCAGGAAGCAGGGTGTGTGGCCCCCACCGGCCTTGGGGAGCAAGCCTGCTG